TATCTTCTTGTAAGAAATTTTTTTATTTAAAAAATTTAAATACTTAAGAACTTTGTTAGAATTATTAGAATTATTATTAAAAGAATATTTTCTTTAATGTTTAAATAAAACATATAGCAGAAATATTTACTTGCAAAATATTTACAGCAAATTTGATATATAGAATTAAAATTTTACCATGAAAATTTTTGCTACAGGTTTAAAATATTCTAGATCCATCACTGTCAGAATGCTAACACGAAACCGGTCAGTCAGTGCTTTACCAGTGAAAAGAAATAATATTTATTTCATTCTTCTCTTAAATATTCTTTTTAAAGTAAAATTATAAGTTTGAAAATAATTTTTAAGAAAGTTTTTTTAAATAACATTTTCTAAGTCATTTTTTGGTATTTTGAAAATTTTAATATGTGAAAGTAAATAAAAATTCTTCTTAACTATACTGTGTAATTTTTAATTTTTTTTTTATCTATTTTATAAAGTTATATTTGTTTTTAATAATTAAAAAATTTTCTTAATAATTAACTTTTTTAATAATATTTTTTCATATTCTTTCAATTTTTCTTTCATTGTTTTTTTATAATGTATAATTATTTTTAATAATCTTTATATTTAAATATTATATTTTAATAATATTTTAGTTATATTTCAATAAAATAAATAAAATTAATTGAAAATTGAGTATTTAATAATTTTTATATTATATAATAATGTATAATAATTTTTTTATATAAAATAAATTATATAAAATAAAAATCATGTTCAGAAATCGTATTAAAATTTTGAAAAGAATTTTGAAATATGCTCTTGCTTGTGGATTGATTTTTTTTATCATAAAATCTCTTCTCGACAAAGATAGAGATGAAACAAAATTAAAAGATCTAAACAGATTATTAGTACGTAAATAAATATAAATTTACCAAATAAATAAATTATATTAGAAACTTTTTTACATTAATAGAAGATTTGATAAAAAAAATTAAATAAAAAACGCATTTTAATAGCAAGATTTATTATTTTAGATCGAAACAGAAAATGAAAATTTAAAACGATTATTAATTGTAAAAAATATATGTAAAAAATATAATTTAGGAATATACAAGGAATTTGATAAACCATCCGTATTTAAACATCCACCAGCACCACAATATAGTGTTTTTTATATTATCAGGTTAGTTAAATAAATCATTTAAATCAGTTAAATAGAATAATATGATAAAAACCTATAGTAATAATTTATTATTATTATATATTATTTGTCGATATATATTTTATAATTTCTTAATTATTTTAATATCAATATCAATAATTATGTTTTTTCACAAAATTTAAAAATAATTTCTTAATCATTATACATAATATATGTGTTTAAATCGAATAACTAATTGAATAACTAACAAATAGTGTTTAAATCAAATTGTGATTATTCTAACAATAACTGATTCAATTAGCAGTGTATCTATGTACATTATTTGCCACGCAGATCACGCGATCTATCATACTGTCCAATTTACAAAGCCGGTAGTACAACGTGGATTTACAATTTATGTCTCTTAATGAATGTTACCGAGGAGGAGTTGAACAATGGAAAGAAGCAAATATCGACCATTGCTAGAGGAATAATACCGGAACTCGAATTTCCAGAAGCAGAAGAGGTAATGTATTGTTCATTAATAAACAACATAATATTTGTATATGAATTACATTTGATTCTAAATCATATGATCAACGAGATATAATGAAACATAATTTATTAAAAAGAATAAATTATAAATATTATTATTTTAAACTTAACCTATAATCTATCTTGGCTTATAGCGCGAATTATATTGTATACAAATTTCGAATACAAAAAAATAAATGAACAAAAAAAATGCAAAATTACTTATTGTTTTATTTATATAATAAATAATAAATATATTTTATCTATATAATAAATGTAAATAAAACACTATAATAAATAAATATAATACTCACCACAAGCCTAACAATTTGTGGAATAAATATATTTAATCATAAATTAAATTATAAATGGAATAATATAATTCAACTTCTTATAGAAACTTTCATACTTTCATTAGAATTATATATATATATATATTTCAAAATCTTTCATTCTGAATCTCGTTAATATCTATTCTTGTAAAAAGACTAAACTAAGAAATTCAAATAGGCGTTAAGGGCTACGAAGAAACTGCTAGTGGTAAGGCACCCATTTGAAAGATTGTTGAGCGCGTATCGCGATAAGCTGGAAAACTCTGTGGCTGGAAGGGAACACGGGACACTTCACTTTTATCAGAAATATGGTAGCAAGATTGTTGAAAAGTACCGTGGTGAGTCACGAAAACCTATCGACCGCAATGTATTCATTGCTCAAACATTAGGTTAATAACGAGATATGTCACTTGCTTCTTAAGAGGCAAACTTCACACGACCCAAAAGGAATCAGGAGATCAGGCAGAAAGGTGTACCTCCACCAGCGGGAATTGAACCAACTTTCCGTGAATTCGTGCAATATTTAATTCATACTGATTTGCCCAATTATGGAGATGACCATTGGATGCCATATTATTGGTTCTGTGCACTTTGCATTGTAGATTACGACATAATTGCAAAGGTAGAATTCATATGGATTAATTTTACGAAATTTAAATTTTGGGGGATTACAATGAAATACATAAAATATGACAATACTTTTTTCCAATTATTATTCCCCAATAATTTTTTTTTATATCTTATCATATTTGTTATGTTTTATAGGTAGAAACATTATATCAAGATCAAATTTATGCGATTCATAAATTAAATCTTCAAGGGATAATTAAACCAAGATGGCAACATAATCGTAGTCACTCGAATGCATCGAAAATATATTTTAGCCAATTAAATAGAGATATGGTAGAAAAGTTATATGAGAAGTTCAAGCTGGATTTTGAACTTTTCGATTATTCACCATATGAATATTATCAATATGTAACAATTTTCTAATATTTTGTAATAAATTTTTCGATAAAGATTTTAATATTTTTTAATTTTAATTCATTTAATTATATAACATTTAATCAATGTTTGTAATTTATTTCATAAAAAAGTAATTTTTACCGTCACATTCACATAATTTAGAAAAAAAGACAATTTTTTTCATAAAATTGTCCTTAACAATATTATTATATTTTATTGATATATTCCTTATCAATAGAAACAGTAGCAAATATTACATTGCGTGATTTTCTCAATTTTAATCGAACATACCTTATTAGTTTTTCGTCTTGTTCCACTCATTAATTCGACTGAAGGAAAAACCATCAACTTTAGGACAGATCGTTCTGATATATTACACCGAACTAGGTCAATCGATTTCTATAGCAAAAGTTCGTCGCGTGGTATAACGTGATTTAAAGCATCAATTAGACTCACCTATGCGTGTATCGACTCTTCGTTTTGTTGTTCTTACCTTATTCATCTTTTTTCTTATTTTAAGCAACTATCGCATGCAATATATATGCACGTGTGTTCGATGAATTTGATTAATATAGAAATCATGAGTAACTAGCGTCGAATGTTTACATTAAATATCTTTTTTTTATTAAGTATTATTTATTTTAATTGATAAAAGATAATTGATACACATATTACATTCAAAAAATTAAATTATATATGTTATACATCATTTCTCAGAAAAATAAAAAATAAAAAATAAAAAATTTTTTGAAAAAATTCAACCATTTATTGTATATGTATATCTGTGTTTCTAGAAATCTAATTCATGATGGAAATAATTAGTTTGATTAAAATTGATTGAATACTTGACATGAAAAGAATTCGTGGAGGAAATAATTAAAATTATTAAGTATTCGTAAGAAGTAAGAATATGATGAATATTTGATAGATATTAGTACGAAGCAAAAATTTTTTAAATGGAATAAAAAATTTAACAAGTATTTGACATTTGAAAAATTAAAAGTTTTGAAAAGATTTTAAAATAGAAATTAAGAGAATAATAATAATAATTTGAAAAATATTTAAAAAAATTATTAAAAATATTTAATGAAAAAAATTGAATGATAATTAATATATAATAAAAATCATTAAGATAATAAAAATATTGAATTATTGAAAAAAGTGTAATTATGTAAAAAATCATTGAAAAAAATATGTAATGAATGCATAAATAAAATATGTAATTATAAAACTTACTTTATTATGCAGATCCTCCAATACTTCGTGATCAACCAGTCCTAATTCTTCCCAATTTGGTTCTTCTGATTCCATTTTGTCAGACCTATAAGTATTTTTGTTTTTTCCAATAATACTTTCGCTTCCTTCATCGTATTCACTTATTTGTTCACAAACAACACTTTTCAACACATAATCACTATTATCATTCCTCGAGCTATTCATTTTATCATTTTTTAATTTTACATCTTTCCGTATAACTCCATCTTGATTTACTTTTATATATTTTAGTTCTATTTCATTTTTCACCACTGAACCGAAAAAAGAATCAACTTTTTGACCGATTTCTAAAGATTCATTTGTTTCTTTCATATTGTCCTTTTCAATGTTTTCAGATGTTTTATTTTCCAAACTATCTTTGCTATCTTTAATATCAATTATTTTATTCTGCATTTCAAAATCGCCAGATTCTACTTTTGAATCATTCTTAGAAGTCTCTATTGTTAAAGAAACATTTTCAGAATGATTAACTTTTATATTTGGATTTATTGCATTAATATTTTGACTATTTTGTACTAACATAACTTCTTCCTTTTTAATTTTTTCTACTTTTCCACCAATTTCAACAATCTTCGCATTCTTATCGTTTGCACTAGATTCGATATTATATATATTATCTTTATCTTCTTGTCTAGTTATACTTTTCTTTTTCCTTGTTTCATCAACAGCGTTATTACTAAATAGAAATGGACTACTGGTTCTAGTAAGAATACTCTTTTTAGGACTCAGTTCCGCATTATGCGTATATATCTCTCTCTTGGGGCTATTAGACACAGACCTGGATGTTCTTCTATATTTTTTAGGCTCTCTGTGAGGACTACAAGGTTGAGAAGACGGTCTAGGACGGCTGGGCATTTTAGTAACAGGTGAAACCGGAAGTGGAATCTTAGTCTTAAGAGTAGTTTCTCCAGATTCCGTATCATCACTATCAGGAGTCCTTAATTTAACTATTTCACCTCCAAAATGAACTCTTCTAGGTGTCTTCCTTTTATCAAGATCTTCCTTCTCTTCAATCTCATTTTTTATATCTGTTTCATTTTCTTCTGCATTCTGCTCGTCTTCACTATCATCCTTTTCTTCGAGAATCGTCATAGTGATGGCTGTTTCCTCGTTGAACTTAATTTCTGTTTCTAATACCACTCTGGCCGCTGGCATATTAGTAATCTCGTCTTCTTCTTCAGCTATACCAGAAGTATCACTATCGTTTTCCCATTTACCTTCCAAATTTTTCTCTACTTTTTCCACGTTCTTTCCATCCGTACCTTTTTTTAAATTCTTTTTATTAGATTTTACATTATAAATTTTGGATAAAATCTCAATATTTTTCTTCAATTTGTTATCATAATCTTCCAGATAGCTCTCGAATTCTTCTACGCCTATTGCATCCCGGATCTTCATTAACGATTTTAATACCGCTTCTTGATGTGGTACCTGGGCCAGTCGGGAGGCCAAGGCTATTGTTACCTCCTTAACAAATCGGGAATCAGGCGATGGACTACTTGACGATGGAAACAGGAGAGAGGGTACGCTTAAGATCACACCGGTGGTAACGTTCGTCTGAAAGGAATTCTGTACTTCTGAACGGTTTAGGCCATCTTCAAGAATCTGCAAGAGAACGATCGATACAATTGCGTTTAGATATCGATCCATGATGATGTATAAGATAGTGGGGAGATTGCAAGGTCAGAAATATGTTTGTGCACGGACCTGTCTATCTGATATGTTTGCCGAAAATTTTAAAATATATCATGAATAATATGAAGATGGAAAAGGATAATTCGTGAAATGCTATTAAATTTATTAGTTTATATGTAATATAATTTATATATAATAAATCCTGTAACTTATAATAAATTAACTCTATTTCATACGCATATCTACGAATGCATGATTTTTATTCAAATTTAATGTTATAAAATAAAATTAAAAAGAGGTATATCATCAAATAAGATTCTTACGTTTTTAATAGTATTTTCTCTGTCATGACTATGAATAAGGAAAACTCGAAAGGCGTCCAAGGCACCCTTGCGAACGGCGGGTGCAGGGTGACCCAAATTATTGACTAGCTCTGGTACCACTGGTTGCATGACCTTGTCCACGATGTCAGCATTCAAAGTCGGTAACACATCTATAAGCACACGAAGAGCATGCTGACGCACTTCCCATTCTGGATCACGTAATCTATCAGATATTTCCAAGAATGTTGAACGGGTATCCACGTCAGTTGGAAATTTTCTAGTGCGTACCTGAAATGCAAATGAAAAGAAATATATATATATATATATATAAATATCAATCCTCGAATATCTTTTGTTTATTATGATGCATTTGTTAAATAAAAATTTCAAAACTAACGAAGATTAAATAATTTCGAGTTATTTAAATATTAAGTCAATTAATAAGATTATAACAAAACAAAAAATTCTACTTGAGATTAATATAAAAAATAATTATTTAATATAATTTATATTTTTTACTTTATTTCTAATTAAATTATTTTAATAAATTTAGAAATATATATTTCAAATAATCTTATTTGACTCATTAAATATAAGATACATTATAACGTAGGACAATTATACGAACCACGTGTTCCCAAAGAGGAGTGAGCTGTATCGCTTGGCCGTTCGACGAGGTCAATGTCATCTTTCGAGAGAGTCGTTGACGATGACCTCGAAGCGTCGGGCTCTCTGGTGTCGAATAGAGATCGAAAGGAGAAAATCGTGCCAGAAGTGGCGAGGAATCCTTTTGGGGCTGCAGAGGCCCCGAATTCGTCGATCCTGTCATAGATGAGGTGAATTCCAAACACTCGGACATACCACTGTTACGTCTCGTTTGACGAAATCCATAGATCCTTCATTGTTTTCCACAAGGATCGTTTCTCTAATTTCTTTAGATCGTTCATGCTGTCATTTTTCATTTAGTTGATTTAGCAGTCGCTAATTAGATAATGAAATAACTTGATAATAAAACTTGATAAGTTTGAATATAACAGGATCATTTTTGATTCTGCTATTTCGCTTCGTGATTTTTATTTCAAATGTTTATAATAAATGTTTATAATGAAGAAAAGATTTGAAATAAAATATATTCATTTAAAATCTTATTTTTCAACAAATTAAATTTGAAAATTTTTTGCATTTAAATGCATATTCAATTGACATTTTATTGAAAGATGTTAATAATTTTAAATTCAACTTTTTGAAAAAGAAAATAATAATAAACTTTTATTTCTTCTATAATTTTTTATTATTTCGATTAAATTTTTAATGATTCATGACGAATTTAAAAACTATTAAAAATTATAAACTTCTCATATCTTCAATAAAAATAAATAATGTTTAAATTTTACTAATTTTTTGTTTATCATTTTTAATTTTTTAGTTATGCTACAAATATTTGTAATATAAATTAATTTACAATAAAAAATTCTATATTTGACTTTTATAATTTTATAATTAATCATCGATAGATATTTTCTGTATTTCCGGAAACATATTTGTAAATAAAATGATTGACATTATAATATATATAATAAAATTTTAAGTGATTAATGAAATCTCATTTTCGGTTTTAATAATTAAAAAATCTGTTTTATTATTAATTTAGATTTACTTAACATATATCGAAACACGATTAATATCATTATCTATATTTTGTATATTTATATTTTATTGTTAGATATTTTTCTATAATTCTTTCACGAAAATATGATTAACAAAATCAATCGAGTAATTTTCATTTCCAAGTATTACAAAAAAAAAAAAAGTTATGTTTTTCATAGTAAATATTTAAAAAAAAAAATAGAGGTAATGTCGTAAAGTTTATCATTGGATCTTGAAACACGAACGTTGCATAAAAGTAGTACACACGAAAGGCGATTGCATAATCCAAAGAAAACATGCGTGTATCTCGGAAAAAAGAAAGGGTTGTCCATTCGTCGTAATAAACGATATATATTTTTCTAGCGTATTTAATTTTTCCTCAACCGTGAAATTTTTTTTCAGACGTTTATTATTATTATTATTATTATTATTTACATCTTTATGTATCAAATTAATAATTACAATATCGATGTTATCGAATCATCATCTTTTTCACTCGCGAAATTTTATCACTCCTCATAAAACATCATCTCACTTTGAATATAGTTCTTTGTTTAATGTCGTTGATCTTTGATAAATATTAATATATTAATTATTTTAATAATAAATTGAATGCAATGTAATTATATTGTATTAAAAATTAAAAATTAATTTAATATGAAATAATTCTTCTTATTAATTTTTTAATTATTTAATTTAAAAAAAATAGAACTAAATGTTATTTTTTGCAATTTCATAAATGTTATATGATATATAACATAATTTTTATTATAAATTATATCAATCATATTTTGTAAATGATTTTATAATCAAAGATATTGTATTTACAAACGAATAAAAATAGTTGATTAACATAAATTGATTTACATAAAATTTTTTAATTATTTTTTAAAAAGTTTAATTATTTTATTTAAAAAAAAAATAATTCTCTTTAAAATATAATTTTAACTTCTGTTTTATCATAAATTAATAAATATTAAATATTTTAACTGAATATTAACTCATATTTTTCTACATAAATTATTATAATTATATAATTATAAAATTCTTAAAAAAATTATATCATAAATATAAATAAAAATATTTTTAATTATTAAATTTACAAATAGCAATATTGCTAAAATTATTTTTTAATTGCTAAAATAATATTTTACTTATTAAAATATATAAAATTTACCTTTAATTTATCTTTTCATATAAGTGAAGGAAAAATTTTGTAAATTGCAATAACATATCTTACAATTTTTTAACTATTATAATATAATTTTCTATATTACATATGAAATCTTTGTTTTCTTTTAAATGTACACTTTACGACAAGCGGCGCAACCATTGAAATCATTTAATACGAAGTTCACGTAACGGTAGTCGACATGTGACTGCCACTCTTCTATTCCGAAAGTAAGGTAGTTGCGGGTAATATCGACCATTCTCTCCCCACTTCTCGAAAAATAGTCTTATATAGTTACTTACATATGTATTATAATCATTAATGAAAAATAATTCATCTTAAAGAAAAAATAAAACTAAAAATAATTTAAGTCATTTTTTGATATTAATATAATCAAATTTAATAATGTTTTGTAAACCAAATCTTACCGCCAAATAAAATTTCGATAAATCGAAAAATTTTTCTTTTTTCTTAATTTGAAATTAATTTTATATAAAAATGTTATTTATTAAATTTCTCTAAAATTTTATTTTAGTGCTTTAAATTGAAAATATAATTTTAAATTATTAATCATAATAAATTATTATTTTTTATTATTTCATTATTATTTTATATTATACCTTTAATAATATGTTTTCAAATCATTTATCAACAATCGCATATTGATATATCATTTATTAAATTAAAATAGGGAAATGTATTTCATATTTTAATAAATTTTCACAAAAGAAAAATATAAAAAATATTTTATAAGTTCAAAATATTTATATTAATAATTTATATAAAACTTTTTTTATAAAATTGTTCTTCATTATCAACTATATAAATAAATATACAAATATATCTATTCCAATATATTATACTTATTCTACACATTCACATAAAATTTTAATATAATTTAATATCAATAATTTTGAATACACAAAATAAATTGAAAATATATATCAATAA